CCGAACGATACGTAAACCTGACAAGTAAAGAATGCGGTTTGGCCGCGGCCAGGGCAGCGGACGAGAAAATGAAAAAATATGGGAATGCCCTCCCCTCGATGGAATTCTTGCCAATATGCATCGAGGTTCTCGGCCCGATGGACCCCAACACCCTTAAATTTCTTAAGGAAATAGGCAAAATGATCAGTGTCAGATCAGGTGACAGCAGGGAACTGTTTTTTGCAACCAACCACATTTCGTGCTTGTTGCAGCGGTTCCTGCGTGTCTGTGTGCTTGAAAATATCCAACTGAATGCCGACATGTGCAATTAACGACAAATCAAAGTGTTAATCCATTTGTTACTTGATGTTTGACGGTTCAGTGTCACTCATCATGTTTTGGTTTTAACATACATACATACATTCATTCATTCATTCATTCATTCATTCATTCATTCATTCATTCATTCATATACACTCATTTCTTGTTCTTTGTTATGATATGAACATGATAAACATGTCAATGAATGGATGAAAATAATAACAACATCATGAATATAATTAATAACCACATGATAACAACATTAAAAGTAACACTTAATAATAACAACAATAACAAAAATAACAAGAATAATAATAATAACTTCCACAACACATCTATTGCATAAATAGTTGGAATACATTAATAGATTATTATTATTATTATTATATATTATAATTATTATGATTATCATTGATTATGCATAGAACCAACCACTCAAGTTAATTTAACTATTATTAAGCCGTGAAAAACAGAACTCTAATATTATTTATTCACTCATTTAAAATTTTTAAAATTAAAATTGTTAAAAAATAAATACAAATTAAGATGAAAAAAAAGATAGCAATCAATTTTAGCAGACAATTTGATGGCAAACAATTTAAATTATTAAAACAACATTAAAAGAGAACAAAGTCATTAAAACCAAACTGAAGAATGTAAGCTGGCTTGCACAGTACATACTCACTCCATTGATATGTACATTAATGTACACTCATGTATACATTCTAGTATTTTATGTGTGTAGGTATGTATGTTTGTATGTTGATTGTATTGTTGTTGATGTTGTATGTTGATTGTATTGTTGTTGATGTTGTATGTTGATTGTATGTTGATTGTTTGTATTGTTGATTGTATGTGTGTGTAGGTATGTATGTTTGTATATGTGTGTGTGCTAATGTATGTACTTGTAATTGTATGTTTGTATTTATTATTAATTTATTTGTGCTGGGTATGTATGTATGTATGAATGATGTCTGTTGTATGTTCAGATAAATGTCAGAATGAGTAGATTGGAATTCAGCATTAACGTCAAAAAAACTGCTCAGTTGGAGTTTTATCATCAGCAACTTAGACAAATGCTGTAATTTATGGATGTTCTTTTATAAAACAGACCAATTAATTAATCTATTGAGCCATTAAAACAAGTTGAACAAGATCAAACTACACCACATATCAACCATGGATCTACTAATTTATCAATTAACTTACAAAGAATTAACCAGCTTATCAACCAGTCATCCAGCCAACCAGCCAACCAATCAGCCAATCATCAATCAACCTTTTCATGAGTAGAAGTTTCCAAACTTTCTTTAAGCATCTTCTTCCTCTTTTGCTCTTCCTGCCTCTCTTGTATACCTTCAACAACAACATCAACAAAAACGTATACATTTAAAATTTCTACGAATCCGTACACATATACAAAATCTACATACAACAACACTGTTACAAATGACTGACGGCAAAAAAAAAATATGTAAACAATACTGAAATATGACGAAAAAGACAGTAATAAAGGTGAATGAAATTCTAAATCATCAAACAAGAGTCAAGAGACATTAACGTAATACTAGCATTACAACTAATATTTCAAATTTATTTTCATAAAATGAATCAATAGTACTTGTAAATTTACAATTAGAAACACCTTAAATCAACTATATGTTATCAAAATACCTGGCTGATGAAGATGACATCAAATAAGAAGAGCCATATATATTTTAAAAATTTCAAAAAGTAATAGAAATAATCATTTAACAGTGCAGAGTACATGAAACGTTCAAAAAAGCGATAAATAACCACATACTGCACGTATCAACATACTTACATACATCACGTTACATCTGTACACATATACAAACATACATATATACATACATTTCTACATTGTTTCACATACTAACCAAACAATACATACATACATACATACATACATACATACATACATACATACATACATACATACATACATACATACATACATACATACAATCACACACTATTCCACGTATGTGCAGTTTAACTACCTTGGTGAACTTTGTATGGAACCAATTTTTTCCAGCTGTCAGTTATCTCGGGTCGATCAGCACCTCCACTGCCAAAGTCAATGGTGAATGTCATGCCAGCTTTTTGTTCAGGAGTCATTTTTGTCGTAGTGACTATGGCGTTAGATGTTTTCAATTGACTTGCTGATTCTTTGTTTTCTAGATTCGAATCTTTATGAAAGTTCATCGAGTCATTCTGTGACTCACGTGATTGACGTTGAAGATTTTGCGGTTGCTGCTGTTGTTGTTGTTGTTGCATACTTGGGTGTTGGTCAGTTTTCACTTGCAGATCTCTCTCAGGAGATGTTTGACTTGAAAGTTGAACTGGATGGGATGAAGAAAAAATAATGTTGAGAATGTAAAAAATGTAATGCACATCTTTCAAGAGAACATCGATATGGTACGTTCAAAAAAATGTGTGTACGTATTTGTGTGTGTGTGTATGTGTGTATGTAAAAAAGGCAAATAACTAAACAACAAAGCAAAGTATGCAGCACAGCATGACAATAAATTTCTAACAATTAAAAGCCAGTTCTACCATGATCAATAATAGGTTAAAAAATTTAGACTAAAGAACAAACATAACAAAAAAGAAACAAATTATGCCTTTCTTTGAACTATCAATCATCATACTGCTGAATGTTTTGATGAGATCACCATCTTTGAGTTCACCATCTTCCTTATTAGAAAAAGATGATGACTCTCCACCTTCAAAAGATGTTAGAGATGATGAAATGATTTCATCACCAGCATTATCATTTTGATCCAGTTTATCCTGATAGTAATGGCCATTCATATCATCTAGATTATTATCAAAAGAAACTTGGAAATAAACGGCAGGTTTGAATGATACTTTTGAAAATTTAAATGTTTCTGATGTCTCTATTGTTGTTGTTGTTGTTGCATATGTAGTTGATGTATGAGTTGTTGTTGTTGCATATGTAGTTGATGTATACTCATATCTCGTCGAAGGAGTAGTTGTTTGTGCAGTAGCAGGCAACGAAACTGTTGATACAATGTCCGTTGGAGTTAGAGAGCAAGAAGGAACAATTTCATGAGCAGCAAATGAGAGTGCAGATGTGACAACAGTCTCAGATGTCTCATCAACAAAAATATCAGAATCTACACTGTCGCCGTCGTTGTTTGTGTCGTCGTCGTTGTTGTTGTTGTTGTTTTTGTGCCTCTTGAATCCATGGACGGGACAACGAAGAGATGATGGCAGTGAGAATAATTGCGACGACGCGTTTGGATTGCTGGTGTAATACTGATGAGGTTGAATGCCTTGTATGAAGTGTTGCCCTTGATGGCAAGGACAAGGATTAGATTGTAATTCTAAATAATGTTGTTGTTCTTTTGTTGAGGTATAGTTTGGGAAGTCTTGTTGTTGAGTTTTATAAGAGTATCGAGGAGAAGATACGAAATGACGTGGAAGACTTACTTGTTCAAATAAGCCTTCGTTAGTTTGCTTTAAAAGAATGCACTCACTAATTTGTGGTGCAGGGCTTGAAGACTCTAGCTGGTCAGCTGCCGGAGATAGCTTGCCACAATTTATCAGTTTCTGAACAGAAAAATTTGCAACCGGGATGGTGGCTGGTTTTACGCTACTGTTGGCCGACAGTGGATCAGTACAGCAGGATTGTTTACAAGCTACTTTGATTTGTGAATAATTACTTGGAATTCCTTTTTTTGATAGTTCATTAAGAGCTGTCAACAACAAATGTGGAGGTTGTGGTTGTTGTGGCTGAAGTTGTTGTTGATACGGTTGCTGGTGTTGTGGACACTTTTGACACTGTGGCTGTTGTTGTCGTTGACACTGTTGTTGTGGCTGTTGTTGTCGTTGACGCTGTTGCCGATGTTGTTGTGGCTGCTGTTGTTGTTGACGCTGTTGTTGCGGCTGTTGTTGACACTGCTGACACTGTTGTTGTGGCTGCTGTTGTCGTTGACGCTGTTGCAGATGTTGTTGCCGCTGACGCTTCAAACGCCAACGTTTAAGTGGTTGAAAACGCTGTGGTTGCTGGTTGCACTGAGTACACCTATGTTGTTGAGATGAGGAACCAGGGGTTTGCTGATGATGGTTTGGGTGACGAAAGGTGCGCTGTTGGCCTGGATTTGCGTCTTGTATGTGGTAATTGTGTTGTAACGGATGTTGTTGCAGTTGCAACTGTTGTTGATGTAACTGGTGAAGTTGTTGTTGAAGATGCTGTATCTGCTGCTCTTCCTCTGCTGTTTGACCCTGCTCTTCAAACCAATTTCCTCCACCGTCCGAATCCACTTTGAAATTTATCTACAATGGGCAATATTTAAATAATATATTCAAAATAATATTCCTGATAATTTATGTCGAAATTAAGCATTTAAATTTTCATTAAATAAATTATAAATTATTTAAAAATTGATTTATTTAGTCTTCATTGTTAGTTAACATATTTTCATAAAATTAATTCACTTGAATGTATTACACAAATTTAATAAAATGGCAAATCTAAATGGAACAAAATTTTTAAACCTTCAGCCATCATCATATCCTCTCTTAGCAATAAATTACTTAACTAAAATATCCAAAAAGCATCGCTAAAAATTAAAATGATATTATTAAAATATTAAAAATAATTAAGTTAAAATTATGCTAACATTATTTTTCTAATAAATAAATAAATAAACAAATTTAATAACTAAAAAGAAAACTAAATCAAAGTAAGCTAGAAAAAAACAAATACCACAAGGCAACAGTTTACAAAAGATGTTAAGTTATTTATTTAGTTTGTTAGCTGGTTTGGATGCATGGTTAAACTGTTTGTTTTTTAGTTGGAATAAACTTTGTAAAGCTTTAAAACATCATTCTCATCATCTCCCTCTTTATTATCGTCATCATCCTCTTTGTCATCATCGCCATCACCATACTCTTCATCCTCGTCATCTTTTTCATCACCATATTCCTCATCTTCATCTCACCACACGCGTTTTTGAAAATTCCAACCGCGCAGGGCTCTACCTCACACATACACAAATAGGCACACGCGTGTAACATTACTATCAAACAGAAAAAAAGAAACAGTGATAGATGTGAATAACGAATGACAAGGCAGCGTATAAACTAATTTCAAATGAAATTACAAATGAAATTAGAATTAAGATGAAATTTTAAATAATGTTGGATTCTGACGAAATGATGTGAGAAGAATTTCACAAAACATCCGTTTCATTAAACAACAATGGCAAAAACACGATATAAAAATGTTCCTTAGTTTACCAACTAGCTCCTCAATTACACAATGCATGAAAACAAATGAAACCATATGGAGTAATAGATAAACACATGGCCGTAAAACATATACATATGACTTCTTTACTAAATCTAAAATGTTTAAAACTTTTTTAAAGAAAAACGTTTATAATTAATAATTAAACATAAAAATATCTCAGTCGACATAATTGTAGGTACCATCATCAATCTTTACTATCATCATCGTCGTCGTCGTCATCATCACTATCTTCAAAGCATTATTTTCGTCATCATTTCAATTGTCATCATTTTGCATTTTAACTCATTTTTGTCATCACAATTTACAATAGCCCCTGATTTTATGCTTCTGACTCATACAAGATATTACCATCTTTTAAACTTATAAAACAATCAAGACAAACGTCATATGATTTACGTAACAACACATAACAAACATAGCTACAATTCCTAATATGTATGTATGTAAGCATGGATACACGCACATAAAAACACTAATCCACTAATTCAATTTGGTTACGTCCGAAACAGTTTGAAAAAAATGCCTTAACCTCTAAATAATTTTTGAAATTTTTGAAAAAAGAGAAAAGTTAATTGTTAATAAAAAATTATATAGATTTATGAAGAAAGTACTAATTACATTGAAACACACGCATGACACACATATAGCAACATACACTGCTGGCAATAAATGAATAATAATGAAGGTAACAATAATAACGAAAAAATATAACACAACAAATGTAAGTAACAAAGATGCTGCTAATTAGACCATGCATAGCATAACTGGTTGGTTGAATGAATGTATGTATGTATGTATGGATGAATGTGTGAACATATGTGTGTGAATACATGCACTAAGTTATGTTTGTATGTTTGTTGTATGTTTAAAGAATAGTTTGTATGTTTGGTATGAATGTATGTATATTTGTTCTATGTATGTTTGTATGTGTTTTTGTGAGTGAAAATGTATATATATATATAACACGAGACATGCTCAAAAGCATTAAGAACATGTTAGTTAATCATCCAATTTTATTTTTTTTTTAAACTTTGTAGACTTAGATCCAGGTATGAACTGTTTAAACTTTCTACACGTTCATTTTTTTCAATCCCCTTTAGTGGCTACAGTAATAATGAAAAATATTGGAAAAAAAAGATTTTTACATTTAATAATTTCATACTAACTTTTTTAAAATCACTACATTAAAACAGTTTTGTCATAATTTAATTCTTCAAACTTAAGAAAGAAATAATAGTTTTTTCCTAATTTAGTTTTATTCTAATTTTGTTTAGCAAATTAACAATTTCCAACCAATTAGATCAGCTTACAACTCTTATCTAGGAAGGGCATGGCATGATTTGTTAAGCTTTCTAGACAGAAATCATCTTGCCAAGTAAAACTAACAGCCAATCAGTACACCACATGCACAGTACACAAACATGCAAAAACACACGCGGTAGGCACGCACACACACACACAGCGCGCGCACACACACACACTCACAAACAAACAAATCAACCTGATTTAGACTTTAAATTCATTCATCTGGCAGTTATGACCATATAAACATTATTCTTTTTTTTTCCTTTTAGCAAGAAATATCATCAACATCTACTGATAAAGAAACTTTCTTGGAAACAAAAACTTCTCTCTGCACCTCATCTTTCCATCTTAACAATTTGTGACAAAATACGTATACATGGAAATAGGTAACTATACATAAACTTGTAGAAATATACATAAAAAATGTGCAGTTATACAAATTAATAAAATTAAATGAATAGTATAAAATAAATAGATTATATTTGTGTATAAAATAAGAAACAAGCAAAACAGATCTCTACACTAGTTTTGACTTGTCCTTCCCAGTGCAATAAAAAAAAAATTAAAATACAGATAATAAAATCTAATCACTATATACAACACATATTTTTGCACCATTTTAGATTGATTTATCGGTGAAAATAAATTAAAAATTTAATTAATTATAAAATACTTGATTATCAAAGAGTTTAAATAAGAAAAATTTCAAATATTTAATTAAATTAACAGATTAAATCAAGTTAATAAGAGTGAAACATGCAGTGAGAAGCTGGTTTCAGCAGCTTGCAATCCAATAAAAAAAAACCAACAGGTTATCTAACAAGACAATATTTTCTAAAACATTCACATTACTACTTAGTAATGAAAAACTACTATTAGTAAACTTACTATTAGTAAATAATATATCGCGATTAACCTACCTAATAAGTCGAAATATCCTTCATAAACTCTGAAAACTGAAATGCATAGTAAATCCATATTAAAGAAAAATTTATTTAACACATTCATCATAGTTATAAGAATCAGTGAATACTTAATAGAAATATATATTATATATATTATTTTATATAGCAATGATATATAGCATATTATATAGCAATGATGTTCTTTATCATGACACTTGAAAACTGTCTGTGTGTGTGTGTGTGTGGCGCTATGTAACATAAATACCTTTACTAAAACACACACACACACTCCTACACATACACACACACAGGTGTGTGCATATGTATGTATGTATGTATGTATTTATATATAAATGATACTTATTGATATAATTATATATAAATAAATAGATATGATATATTTAGTTAATATAGCACACGAAGGCTACAAATGTTAATTATGTAAATTATAAAATTATATATATATATATATATATATATATAGATAGATAGATAATCTAGAAATGGCAAAAACCAGGCCTCTATAATAATTTAAATAGTAATGATATTAATCAAACGAAATCAAAAGTCAATAATCAGCCAACCAGCAGGCTGTTTGATTAATTTAAGTCAAATACATATTTAGTGGCTTTGTGAGTCTATTTATTTTGAGAGCAATGAAAATGAAGCAAATTACAATAGTAACTGATTGCAGATTGAAACTGAATAAATAAATGCAATAGCCAAAGAAAAGATGGATCAATTTAATTTTTAAAATTTTTGAGCTTTGTTTAATATTGTGATTTGAAGAGTTTCTTTGCTTAGAGAGTTAGTGTTAGAGACTAACTTAATTAACTTAGTGCTTAAGTTAACATTTAATTTTTAATAACTCTATTACTACACTAACTCACTGACCACTGAACGTTTTAATTAAATTTTATTTGCATATATGAAATGAATTCTCAATTTATTCATACGTCATTCCAAAAATAGGCAACACTAAAAAATTAAATAAATTTTATTACGTAGTCGTCGTCGTCGTAGTAGTCGTAGTCAGTTTCTGCAGCTGCCAGAGTAGATAGATTTTGCTGCTGATTCGAAACTAGGTTCCCGAAATTGTCCGGTTGATGCATGTGTGCTGGTATTTTTTTGAACTAAAAAATAAAATTAAACGTCTTTTTTTTCATTATGTAAATGAAATTTTAAAAACAATTTTTTTTAATATTTTTTTTAATGTTCATTTTACGATAAACGTGATTAGGGATGGAAGATAAAGATTGGCAAATACTTGATCGGTATGTACTCGATATCTACGAGTACTTGGCTGGCATCTAATAATATATGACCGCCTGTACGGTCTATAGTAATTTATGTAATTAATGGGTGATTAAGGTTTTCAACGGTTTCTAATTAATTAACTATATCAATCGTTCTTATAATATCCTTTCACAATTCCTATCAACTGTTGCTAATGCTAATAAACCCTCCATATATTATTTGGGCATTTAGTCAGTCAAGAAGCACATTATTACACTTTGATTTAACATTTTTGTTTTTATTTCACTTGAATATTTCATATTAAAGACACTAATTGTTTTATACTCTTTCTATCAATTTTTTTTATTAGTTCATTGCTACAGTGTGTTTGACATTTTATTCCAATAAGAAAGAAGTTTTGAAGAAAGTCAAATCATCTTTATTAAAATAACCCGTAAATAATCCAATAAAATTTTCAAGAAAATAACGGATTGAAAGCGAAATTTTCTGATAGAAAGTTGACTGGAACGTATGGCTGACAGCGTGAATGAATATGAACAACACAAATATTTGTCTAGATTCAAAATTTCCGTGTAACAAATTTTCGCAATTAACTATTTGACCAAGTAGAACATGTAAATTCAAAAACGAAAATTCTAAATCATTGAATTTACAAAATTCTACTATGATTTCATGACTTGCATTGTCATTATAATCAAACTTGGTTTTCCTACCTTTTCAAGTTTTTCAATGCATTTTAAAATGCAATGCAAAATTCTAAATCATTGAATTTACAAAATTCTACTATGATTTCATGACTTGCATTGTCATTATAATCAAACTTGGTTTTCCTACCTTTTCAAGTTTTTCAATGCATTTTACTCAGAGATGCAACCCAAATTATAGTATAACATTATGTAAATTCAAAAACAATGTGATAATTTTAAGTAGAAAAAACAAAAAAAAAATAAAGAGAGAATGTTAACATAACTACTTTCGTAACAAACGTTCCATAATCTACCAAACGATTCAAGGCAACCAGAACTGGCTTTGTAGAAAGCGTTAAAAGTTAATGAAAAACATCTCACTAGATTGAAATAAAATTTATAAAAACAAGTACTAGAAAACAAAAACAACCTATATTCAAAAATATCTACGCGTTAATTGTTGTGGTGCTAAAAAAACTAAAAACCTGGCAAAAATGGCAAGGTAGAAAGAGGTGCACCAGTTGATTGTAACATTATGTCTATCAATATCAAGGAATTATTGAAAAAATGTGTATAAAACTGTAATATCTTAACAATTAATATTTATCGGAGGAATTTATTCGTTATGTATGTTTAAAAACGCATACAAGCTATAGATATACATGTTTAAATACAAGCAAAAATAAAATAAGACCACCGAATTGAAAGATGATTTGGGAGATAGCAACAGAATTATTGTAAGCAACAAAATAAAAAGAAAGTTCTAGCACCCCACCCCATCTTCGTAGACAGACAGGTAGAAGTTCAAGCAGTTCAAAAGGTCAACACCATTGACATCCACTGAAATTTTTTTTTTATTAAATTAAAAATATATTAAAAGATTATTTGCAAGATCAAATGTTATAACGTTTTATGAACGATAATATTTCATGATTCATATACTTCTGATTTCATAAGTAATTTTGTTTAGTATCAGTGAACTTGTGTTAAGCAATTGATTTTTTTGGTGCTAAGGTAACAATGATGTATTTAACAAAATGTGTGGTAAGAAACTGATTTAACACACACATGCACGCACACATCTGAATATATTTTATAACTTTATTTATGAATAATTTCTGTTTCAAACATATAAGATGGCGTTTCGATCTATTAAAATTTTTGAAGTAGCAAAAAGTTTTTACCTCTTCTAAATTCATTTTCAGTTTGCTTTCCTCGCTTAACTTCTTGAAATAATCTAAAAAATAATTACACTTGTGAATAAATGAATGAATGAATGAACGAACGAATGAGCCACTGAGACAATTAACCAATGAATCTACTGATTATTTAGTCATTTAGTCAACCAGCTAACGAATGAGCTGCTAAACCATTAAAATTTAAATTTAACAGTCGCCATTGGTTAAGAATACGAATTATATCTTCCCCAATAATGAATTCAGTAAAAAAATCGGATACCTGATTTAAAAAAAAACAGAAGAATAAAACATGATTACAAAAATGAAAAAATCTCACCATAGATATTTTTAATTTTGCAAGAGCATAGAACAAATTCATCGACCGTAACATCTTTTGATCTCCCGCCAAACTTGCACACCACTGCATCAACTACATTCCGGCTCACCTGCACACCTGAGGAAGAAAATAATAAAAATAATAATAGTAACATCAACGATCACGGTAGTAATGAATGATAACAATGATAACGATGGTGATGGCAAGTAACAAATTTAAACGACGTAAAGTGAGAGTAACACATCGATATGGCGTTTCAAGTACAAGCAAGTACAATTAAGTACTTGGAGAAAGTACACAAAGTACATGAACCGAAAAATATTTACTATTTATTACGCTTCAAATCCACAATTATTACGTATTTAGTAACAGTTAGCTCAGTCTCAACATGTCGTTACATAGAGAAGTCTTTTTTTTATTAATTTAAAATAATTTATGATTTGAATGGGGAATAAATTAATAACCGAATCGTAGTTTTTGTTACGAATTTTCAAATTTCAATCTTCGTTGAATGGAAATTCAAGGGTAAAATGAATGCGAATACTGACCGATTGAAATGTAGACTCTGTCCAGTTCATTACAGTCAATGGTCCCTGATTTGTCTGTGTCAAACTTGCGAAATTTTTCCTATAAATAAAATATCGAGAATTCATTTTATTTTTTTAGTAACTTATTTTATTTATTTTATTTATTTATATTTAGTAAGTTTTGGTGAAATGAATGATGCGGCCAAGAAACTGATAACATTTTTTTTAAATATTAGTCATTGTTTTCTAATGACTAAAATGAGTTATTGAGCCTCAAATACTTAAAGAAACAATATTAAACTGAATTTTATGATAAAATTTCTTAACTAAATTGATAACATAAAATACAATTAATGAAATTTTAAAGTTGAATTGAGAAGAGGAGGAACGCAAAAGAATGCTCACAAGCCACAATCTAAGTTCAGCCCACAACGTGTAGAATTCGTTCAGTGTGACGAAACCGGGCTTCGTTTTCTGTTGAGAATAAATGCAAAAATATATGAAATATTATTCAATTTAAAAGTTTTAATTCAATAATAATAATAAATGTTTAAAATGTTAAAAATTAAAAAAAACCCAGATAGACCCCATAAAGTGAGATCAAACAACGAGCTGCTTCCATTGATGTGAAACCAGTCCAGCCATCTAAAAAAACAAGTTTATGTTTTAGGTTTACGATAAAAATTAATTTAACAAACTTTTGATGTGTCTCGTACACCATTTTTTTCTCTCTCTCCCTCTCTCTCTCTCTCTCCTTCCCTCTCTCTCTTTTTCTCTTTTTCTATAACGATAGACAAACAAAAACCTTTTTTGAAGGCAGCATCCAAAACGGCCATCAACTCCTTGGCATCTGCATCGCTGAGGTTTTTGTTCTGGTACTGGAACATACCATCGGCTTGCACGTGAATCCTGTCTTCCACTATCGATGTAGGAGGCTGGAAGCGGTGATGATGGAGCGGTGATATTGTGGTGATGACACTATGATGTCATGATATAATATGATGATTACGATATGTGATGGTGATATCAAGTTACGCTTGTATGATGGTTGGTTGCAATAATGAATGTCGTTATTTGGCTATGATCCTACAAGAGAATGTCGATGATTGTAGATATAATTAGAAAGATTTAATTTCTCACCTTAGGCGGAAGAACATTTGTGGGCATGTCAACGTTACTGTATTGGGAAAAATTGAAACGTTAAGCCGCATGTTATTACGTATTTCTGGTGTGCAAGTTTACACAAAAACAATAACGAAACGACAAACAACATGATTAAACATGCAGATGAATTTCGCAGCAACAAAAAAATAATGTTGTAAATAAAAACTACCAAAATTATGAAAACTTTTTTAAATTCTGTACATCAATAACATACAACGTGGATGTACATTAAAAATATTTTTAATGAAATATCACAAAAAATGGAAAAGCAAGACTATCCAGACTTTCCTCACTTACTCTTCCTCAGCCTTCACTTCCGTGTAAACTCTGAGCAGGAACTGACCGGCCTTGTTTTGTTCGTAGGTGTGAGGAATGATGACGTACTGGCCAGGGGGTAGGACGTACCTGGCCGTCACCTCCCTCAAGTTTACGTAGGATTCGTTGTGGGTGACGTACTGCATTTCATCTTTCGTGAAGTTGTGGATGTGGTCGTCTGCCTGGAAGTTCACTCCCGGCCTCAGCTGTCGTGTCGTCATCAGTAGATTATTTGTTGATAAGTAACTTTGATGTAATTTGGCATCAATGTTGAAACGGTTTTATTGAAATTAAGTATTATTTTTCGTTCGTGAACGTACGTACACTACATATCCGCAAGCGTACATTTTGGGTGGGAAAACAATGAAAAAGATGCTAACAGCCTGAGAAAATGATAATTCAAATAAAATATCAGCCATCGTTGATTAATGTTGTTGGCTAATGTACGAAACACAAGTGACCGGTGTACAGACAGACCGAATCAAATATTTAGATGACGGACCAAGAGTAAATAAAAAAAATAACGACCAAACCTTGTAAATGTCGAATGAGATGAAGTTCTGTTCGTTCCAGGATTTGGTCATCTGCATGAGGGAAACGATCATGTGACACTTGTCGGATGAGGAGGACGTTGCTGCTGCTGGGTTCAGTGCGATCCGGAACTGGGGATTTTTGAAGAATTGGTCTGCAAAAAAGAAAATGGAGTAATGAAGAGAAAATTCATTTTGTCATCTAATCACGTGACCAAACACATCATCACGCGACCAACCACATCATCACGTGATCAACCAAGTCATCACGTGATCAACACCATCACCACGTGACCAACCTCTCCTGTAAGTGAATACACTGGATCCGAAAGCATTGTAGCCCTTGATCCACTCAGAATGGAAACTTATCACTTCCCATCCCGTCTTTTTCTGTCGGGGTTGTTCGTTCGATCAGTTTTGTTGCGGTACATTGATGTTAATGATAATATTTTATTGTTGTTATCATTATTATTATTATTATTATAAATTGAAATTTAATTTCACTTTTGCTCAGGTTAAATTCATTTCATCGTAATAACGAGGAGAATTCTTTGAATAATAAAAATGTTTTTGGTTCCGTGCGTCATCACGCCGTATAAAGTATTTCTAAAGCGTATACATACCCTATCTTTGTTATAATAAAGCATATACATTGCATATGTGGGCTCATATAAAGCAGATCTGGCTTTATAGGCACTCTGTTCCATGTGAATGACTAACTTCGCATACCATAAAGAAGGCCTGGTTGTGAGTAAATTGTTTGACGCATTAAGCAATCCCTCTAAATTATTAGCTTGATTGGTTTGCACGAGCTCTGAGTATTTAAGTAGGTACGATATTAAGTAACATGTTGCCTTGTTTTGTTTTTAACCACACCTATGTTTTATTTATGTCTCGTTCGTAGAATGTACAATTTGGTTTTAAAACAATTTCCTCAAATGAAAATTTTCCTTTTATGACGTTTGTTTAAATAAACGATGTGACTAGTGGAACGATGATGTGATTGTAGTTGTTGTGTAGTTGCTGCCGCTGGTGTGACGTCATTGTAAAAACGACGGCATTTTGCTTGGATGAAGTTGTTCGATCGAGCTTAAATTAACTTTTATAGAGCAGTTACAAGTGTCATAAATATTTCGCGAAGTATTGTAACATCTGCAGCCTTAGTTTCGTTACGAGGCACAGCACAGCAGCACGTATGTCCTTCAATCCAAGAGGTTCAGGCGACAATTGCCGCGTTCAAATTTAATAATATTTGAGCTTTTTATATTTGATAATCATTGCGTGCAAAGTTTAGTAAGTTCGTTTTTCAAGGTACATGAAACTTAACTTTTTTAATAAAAATTTTCAAAGTAGATGTAAATGAAACAATTTTCACAAAACAAGCATAGGCTTTAATAAAAACAAAACGATTAAAACACAGAAAACGCGCCATGTAGAATCAAACATAGACGAACGCGTACAAACACAAACATGAACAAACGTGAACACACACAAAAAGAAACACAGGTGAACAAACATGAACAAAAAAAAGAAGAAACAAACATGTTTGCTCTCCAATTCAGCGGTGATAGCATCAGGTTCAAGATGGCATATGGTAAGGAATTCAAAATTCCTCAACCAATCATCATACGACATCCTCAAATAAATATTTGTTTAAATAAGTTTTATTATTATATTTTAATTAATATTATTAATTATTATCTTCAGCAGTTTTAAATTTTCGGAGGTACCAGCAGCAACACGCACGGAGCATGTGCGAGTGAACGCGCGCGAATCCAAAAAAAATTTAAAAAGGAAAGGTACCAAAACTCTCCATTGTCTCTTTTCAACATCTGCAGCTGAATCTTCACATCCTCACTGACCGATGACCACCTCGAGGAACTGTGGACAGATGATGATGATGATGATGATGAGGGCGATGGTGATGGTAGTGGTGATGATGACGGTAGTGATGATGATGGTGGTGGCATTGTTTTTTATGATGACAAAAATAATAATGGTAAAATTGTTGATTGATGATGATGGTGATAATGTTTTTGTTGTTTTGTTGATGATGATGATAGCAACAATGGTGGTGGCAACACAGCAACACACACACACACACACAGCACACACACATACACACTCATACACACACACACAACACACACACACAAACAATAACACACTCACTTATCACTCCAGTCACCATTCCACTCTTCCTCTCCCCACGGATTACGAATCCTCAACAATTTAACGGGCCGATTGCCAAATATAGTTTGGACCTATAATAATAATAATAATAATAATTATTATTATTAATCATTGTATTCATTACTGTAATTATTGTAATCGTTATCGTAATCATTGCAATCATTATTATTGTAATTGATGTAATTAATGTAATTGGGTCATTCTCCGTCAACTTGAACGATTTAAAAAAAAGTCCACGCCCGACCATCTCCGATTTTTTTAAAATTTGAACAGTAAGTACCTCAATGTATTTCATCGACAAAATAAAATTTTTATAAAAAAATTTCAATTATTTTTCAAGTTATGAAGATTTTTGTGACAGCATCCTCAAATTTTTGAGCGATTTTTTTCAAAACTTGTACCTACGTAGAACGCTATATCTCTTGAACTAGCCAACATATCTTGATGAAATTTTTTGTGCATATCAGTGAAACAATGTAATAACAAAAAAAATAAATGTTATTGTCTCGAATCAAAGGATATTTTGAACAAAAAATCTAGAAAAAAATGAATTTTTTGAAAATTTCACCGATTTCAAAACAGCGTAGCTCAAAATCTATCGCAAAATAAATAAATATTTTTTGTTATTTTAGAAGTACCTTATAGTCACAAATAAATCACAAAATTTCGTTAAAATCTGTATTGAATTTTTTGAGCTATCGGAGCTCAAAATGTCAAAAAAATGAAAAACTTCTTTTGTTTGGCGCCATTTTTAACTATGAAGAACCAAACGTTTTTAATTTTTAAAATTTGTTTATATAGTGCTTTTATAGCTTAACAACATATCAAAAAATAAAATTGGCGTTTGCTTTCTTTAAAAAATAAAACAACTTCAAAAACAGGCAAAACAAATTTTTTTCAAGTGTCAATTTTTTTTTTTTTCAATTTAAAATTATTATACAACGTGCTAATGTGTTTAAAAACAGTTTCAGGAAGAGTTATGTGAATTTTTCCAACATAAGAAATGTTATCATCAGGTATAAGAATCAAAATATGTTTAAATGGTACATAGCAAATATCTACATTTTTAGGCCAATAAAAAATATTTTCTTTAAATTTCTTCAGACAGTTAACTTTTAAATCATCATTTTTATCATCTCTTTCTATAATGTTTCCTAAATACCATTTCTTATTATAGACCAAAGCTCCAAATCGACCCGGCTCATAATCATCATTGGTGTCTTCACTTTCATTTTTATTAAAATTGTATCCAAATAAATCTGAAGACAAACGTTTCATCAAAAGTTGATCATTTTTGTCTGGAATAAATGAGTGATGACTTCGACAACCCTATATTTTATCTGCTTACCTAAATCTTTTTCAAGTATTCCTAGCAGATCTTTAATTTCTTTTTTGTCTACCCAAAAAAATTTAATACCATTTATTTTCGCATCAGCGTATGTGTAAAAATCTCTGGCGTTCAATATCTGATCTTTTGTTAATGCCTGCAAACTTGCTCTTGCAACCAATCTTTTTGTTGTCCCTCCAATTCCATCGCAAGGACTTTTACCATGAAAAGTTGCAAAAAAGTGCCATTCTGCTTTTAATCCAAAATCCTCTTTGTGATGAATTAAATTAGAAAAATTTTTGTATTGACTTACCGCACCATCAGAAAAATATTTAATTAAAGTAACGTTTTTCAGGTTTTGTTTTACATAGTTAATTAAATGTTTTTGAAAAGCATAAACAGCGGAAACATTGTGATCGAGACAGTCGCTAATCATGCAAACGCTTTTGACAGATAAGTTTTCATAAATAAATAAATAAGTTTTCTGTAATAAAGAACAATTGGGTGAAGAGTAACTTGCGTGTTGCTCCAATGTTGACTCTGGATTGCATCCTGTATTATCACCAAATAATTTTCAGCAAAATCCATTAAAGCAATACACTCTGAACTTTTTAAATTTTTTTTAGAATCGCTAAGATATTTCAATTGTTCTTTGCTTATGTAATGATGCGATGACAGCTCGTCAAGTTTTTGCGAAAATCTTTCAATGAAACTGTCAACTGTATCCTGTACGGAAATCAATGAACTGCGATTATCATCATGGGAAATTACAGCTTCTTCGAAAATCGCTCTTAAGTTATTTTCGACACTCAGTTTTCCTGGGCATTCCTCACATCTGTGTAACATACATTCTAAATTTTAAATTTTAAATTGAAAAAAAAAAAAAAAATTGACACTTGAAAAAAATTTGTTTTGCCTGTTTTTGAAGTTGTTTTATTTTTCAAAGAAAGCAAACGCCAATTTTATTTTTTGATATGTTGTTAAGCTATAAAAGCACTATATAAACAAATTTTAAAAATTAAAAAACGTTTGGTTCTTCATAGTTAAAAATGGCGCCAAACAAAAGAAGTTTTTCATTTTTTTGACATTTTGAGCTCCGATAGCTCAAAAAATTCAATACAGATTTTAACGAAATTTTGTGATTTATTTGTGACTATAAGGTACTTCTAAAATAACAAAAAATATTTATTTATTTTGCGATAGATTTTGAGCTACGCTGTTTTGAAATCGGTGAAATTTTCAAAAAATTCATTTTTTTCTAGATTTTTTGTTCAAAATATCCTTTGATTCGAGACAATAACATTTATTTTTTTTGTTATTACATTGTTTCACTGACATGCACAAAAAATTTCATCAAGATATGTTGGCTAGTTCAAGAGATATAGCGTTCTACGTAGGTACAAGTTTTGAAAAAAATCGCTCAAAAATTTGAGGATGCTGTCACAAAAATCTTCATAACTTGAAAAATAATTGAAATTTTTTTATAAAAATTTTATTTTGTCGATGAAATACATTGAGGTACTTACTGTTCAAATTTTAAAAAAATCGGAGATGGTCGGGCGTGGACCATGGTTCAAGTTGACAGAGAATGACCCACTTGTAATTATTGTTATCATTATTGTAATCATTGTAGTTATTATTGTAATCACTGTAATCATTATTGTAATCATTGTAATCATTATTGTAACCATTATTGTAATCTTTGTAATCATTATTATAATCATCATTAGTATCCTTATTGTAATCATTGTGAGTAGAAATGTTATTTTGAAAAACTCACCACGATAACTTTGGTGATAGCATACGCGTGTCCCATGTATAGGCCTGAAGGCAGTTTCAGTTGGAACGATTTTTCATCCTATAATGGAATTGGAACGGTTGACCGGTTTTTACAAACATAAATAAAGAATTCATTTTATACAAACAAAAATTAAGAATTCATTTTATACAAACAAAAATTAAGAATTTATTTTATACAAACAAAAATTAAGAATTCATTTTAACACTTTTAAATACGTAACAATATTAAGGAGTAAGGACATCATACACAAATAACAAACAAAACAAATAACACTCAAAAACACACACACACCACACGCACACAACACACACAAACAAACACATATGTGTGTACGTAAGTGTGTGTGTGTGTGTGTGTGTGTGTGTGTGTGTGTGTGTGTGTGTGTGTGTGTGTGTGTGTGTGTGTTTGTCTATATCTTAATCAGTACTTGTAGCTACTTCATCATAATAGCAAGACCATATCATGTAAGAAGAATAATTTACCATGTATAATTAATTTTCCTATTACGTTATCAAGTTCAATCTATTGCTACTGATATAATTAGGCTTTACGTGGAAATTAGCATTCATTAATCATTCGTTCATTTGTTCGTTTATTCATCACTTATTCGTCCATTCATTCCGTCATTCATCCATCCATTCACTCCTTCATCCATTGATTTATATTAATATAAATAATATAAACTGTTCACTGTTCTGCATTTTGGCTTGTTAGGATATAATCAGTTTTTAAAATATGAAAACACTGTTTATATCATATGTTATATATATATATATATATATATATATATATAATGTTGTCTTAATCATTGTTATTGTTATTATTATTTATTTATTATTATTATTATTATTCATATAACCATTCATCGTTGCGTAGGCTTTTTTTCTATTAAATCGCGGCACCACCACCAGATCCTACCATATTGCTACGTTATCTCTTAAAACCAGGCCATAAATGTTAATAATAATAATTAATAATAATAATAATTAGTAATAATAATAACTATTATTATTACTATTATTTATTTGTTATTATTATTGTAATATTATTATTAAACGCGAGCATGTGTAAGCCTCTGCTCTAACAATATGACGCTATGATTATCTCGTTTTGTCATGCTGGTAGTATTGACAACAACAGCAATAATAATAACAACAACTATAGAAACAACTATAGTTATTATATATATTTATATTATTACATTTATATTCATTACTATTATAAGTATTGTTACGCTGTAGCAAAACATTTCTCGTGTTTAGCTAGCATGATATGACGTTAAAAAGTTCATAATGAATTCATCAGAATGGTTATTGTAGTACTATATTATTATTATTATTATTGTAATTAGATTTCATTTATTATTACCATGC